CTTTCTTTCTTTCTTTCTTTCTTTCTTTCTTTCTTTCGTGTTCTTTCTTTCGTGTTCTTTCTCTCTTTCCTACTTTCTTATTTTATTCCCCAATCTGACTGATAGCTTCACAAAAGATCTTGTTTTACCAGCTTTGGATTTGACTCGTTGAATTGACACATAACGACTTCATTCTGCTTCAAGTGGACGGCAAGAATGGTCAGCGGTATTAAGTAGCAAAGATAAAGAAAAATGATGATCGACAAAGAGATCCAACCATACGTCAACCTAAAATGACGTAATAAATGACATCAAAATATACATGTAGGTATATATGTTTTTAAGCAATGTGATTGGTGCACCAGTCAATTGAAACAAAATGAAATAAAATGATAAGGGATGAGATGAAGTAATAATAAAAGTGAAAATAAAACTTACCATTTCCTGTCCATTAACTTAAAAATGACCTGATGAACCATACACTTGTCATGGCGCTTTGCTGCCATGGTCTAGGAGTATGTGAATAAAAATAAAAATGAGAATGAGAATAAGATGAGAATAAGAATAAGAATAAAAATAAAATAAAGACTATCAAATTGAAAAAAATAAATAATAACAAGACTCAAAATAGAATTAGAATAAAGAAATTAACTTTATTTATAAGAAGTTGACTTTACCCTTAACACTCCCAAAGGGTCTTGTTTGGAGTTAATTTTCCCCTGAATAAAACTGAAGTCATATGTGATCTGGAAGGAACAAATTTGAGTATTAATAATTTATTGCTAAATTATTACAGTAATTTCAAGTCTCTTAGCATGTGAACTGCAATTACCTAATCAAACTGGGCATTACTTAAGCTTTGCATGTACACAATATTTTCATATAGACCCCTTGCAGCACTTTCGAATGCATCTCAATCTGGGGGACAAAACAATAGGTTCCAATTTTCATCTCAGGAGATTGGAATTCTTTTTTTTTTTTTGATCCCAGATGGAGCTGCTTTGACATCACATTCAATGAGTCCATACACTCAATTGCAAAATCATAGTAGGTATCAAAATAAGAAGATAGAAGCTGAGACCAAGAATGTACATGGGAAGTATGTGTGTTAATTAGATGTATATATCTAGTGATACAACTCTTGAAATCTTCAGTGTAAATTGTTGCACAATCATTTTAACCATAGTTAATAGAGGGGAATGGTTAAGAAACCCTTTTGTTATAAGTCTTTGTTCACTTTTTTCAAGCGTGACCGAGCACAATCCTTTGTTTTACCATTGTTTTACCATTGTTGGCAATGGCTGAGTGAACAGACCAAAATCTTTCTTTTGACTTCTAGTTCAAAATACTTAAAGATTTATAAGAGATATTTGATATTTCAATCCCATAGACAAAGTTTATGTTTACTTATTTTGCAATTTTGGATGAGCATAAATCAAACATAATGTGCACAGTCAAGACCGGTTCAACATCAAAAGCGAACAAAGACCTGATAACAATAGGTTTCCTAACCATTCCCCTCTATTAAATGCTTTAACTCATGTTTCATAGTGACTATGTATCTCAGTTGAACCTTTTGGCCTCAGCTTCTATGTTAATATGTTTTTGAACTTGACAATGATTTTTCAACTGAGTATATAATGAGTATGAAAGGCTAGAATAAATCCTTACAGTAAAATCAAAATCATGTAGGCTGAGATACAAGCATCTACAGATTAGAAATGCCAGAAATCCAGAAATGCTGAATCCTACTACTCGCAACCAGCCTTTATGCTTTTTCGAGGCTTTCTTTTGATGTATTTTAAAAAAATATTGGTTAATGTAACACTAATTATGAATCAGCCACAGATGATGATGGTGATGATGATGATGATGATGATGATGATCAGATGCTGGTAGTGGTGATGATTATTATGATGATTATGTACCTTATAATCCTGTTTGATGGGATCTCCTTCCTTGATTACACAACGGTCTAGGATACGCTACAAAACACAAAATTATTTTGTTCACAGACTTCCCCCAAATCATCAGATATTAATATATAAGAGACCCTTAGTTAGCTGGGGAAGTTTGAGCCACTAATATACAATATTGCATATATATCATTTCATAAAATCTTTAATATTTTATTACATGTAAGATTTGTATAGAAAAATGAAATTGATAACAAAAGCTTGCTGTTCAATACTAATGAACTAATCGAATATACCTCTGCGACGTCAGGCATTTTGATCAGAAGCACCTTCATCTGCCCCAGTCCTCCAGGAGAGGATGTATTCATAAGCTCCCTCCATCTGTCACATGAGAAAAATAGGATTTAAAAAATGATATCGGTGCATATGGTTGGCTGGCCACCTTGTGAATAGTTAATAAGTATTTGGAATATATCAAGAGATAATCCCCACCTGTCATGATCAGCTATTGTCATAGCAACATCTTTCTTTTCCATCCTAATGGCAATATCTAAAGCATTTTGATTGAAGTTGTTCATCAGGATTTGCTGGTTACTCCTGGACAGCAAGTCTTCTACCAGTTCTTCATGTCCATGAAGGGCAGCCAGGTTTAGCGCTGTATTCTGAAGTCAAAAAAGCAAAGATTAATCCCAATGAGAGCTTACATTGATGGAGTTCTTATGGATTTTGCAGGAACTCCCTCAAGTTTTGGAACTCTGACTAAGTCATTGGGCGTGAGAGATATCAGATTCAAATACATCATTAATGCAGTGTCAGAATGTGATGATGCTGAAGGATTTCTGTGTCTGATTCGTGAATTGCCAAGATGATCAAACTCTCATAAGTATATAGCTTAGCCTGTGCACCCTTGAGAATTCTGAAGCATTTTGTTAGGGAAACATTTATCATTGGTGGGTGAAAGCAGATACTAGATAGATATTTACCTGATCATCGTCCACAAAGTTAAGGCAATCTGGATGTTTGCCAAGAATACAGTCAACACATCTGCTGCTACCATTGATTGCGGCCAAGTGCAAAGGGGTTCGCTCTAACTCATCACTGAAACAAACCCCAAGACATGAACAGAATGAATATACCAAATGATCACGTGACCCAACAATAAACTTGTTACCTAATAATGATCACCTGACCAACCATTGATGATATATCACGTGACCCAATAATGATCACCTGACCAGCCAATGATGATATATCACATGACCCAACAATGATCACCTGACCAACCAATGATATATCACGTGACCCAACAATGATCACCTGACCAGCAACCAATGATATATCACGTGACCTAACAATGATCAATGATAATAGAATATTTCATTCATGCAATGTAACTAATTCCCTGGTGGGAAAGCACCATGGAAAATACATTGGAAGTTGTGATTTACAATATATTTTTTCATAATTTGGAAATGACGTGTGAAAAATGCATGCGTGCCTCAGATGTGGTATGGTATGGAAGCTAGTGCTGACTTCCATGACATTTCTATGATGTCTTCCGTGGTATCTATGTATACTCCAGCTTTGAGTTCTCGGTTAATCAGGCTTATCCTCGATTTTGTGAAGAATAATATTGATTTTTTATAGTGAATGTTCATGGCAATTCAAAGTGTTTGTAGTGTTGTGCATTGTTTCCTTTACCGTTAGTATATGTGAATATTTAGACACTGATACGAGACTAATCCTGAGTATATTAGTCCGTAATCAAGGAACACAGCAGTAATTTGGAACTCGAAAATGGTTTACTGGAGCACGCACTATTTTCCAGTGATATGATTCTCACCGTTCAACTGTTGCTCCTCTTTCTACAAGTAACTCCACGACTTTCTCATGGCCTTCTCCTGCAGCAAAATGAAGCGGAGTCTTGCCTTGATTATTCTGCAGGTTTATCATCCGAACATTACGACCGACCAAAAGGTCTTTTACGATTTCCAGCCATCCATACCTAACACAATACCATATTGATTTAGCAAACTGGGAGATATCCCATAGAATATTGGGCAACATGGAGGGGTATGTCCAACGAATCAGATGTAACACCTGCATTAGTCAGTGTTGTGCTGTTTTACTGTCATATAAAACTGATCTACTCTATC